CAGGTTTGCATCAGGTCAGGATTTTTTTCCTTGTCACACATATGCGGTTTATAAACAGTTCCCATAGAAGTCAACAGACTGTACTACACACCTGAACCTGAAGGCACTGCTCAGAAATCGAACATGACTCTCTTTTAAAAACTGCACTGAAACCGCACTGAATTCACACTTGCAGTGCACCATAGGAAGCAATTTTATTTCACGTCATGTGTTTTGGATGCGGTTCAAACTGCATCCAATCCGTATATATGTGAACTGGCACCTAACAAACCATTCAATTTATCTCCAATCAAGCAGTCCCTTGTATTATATTGATTGATCTACAAGAGTTTACACAATCAAATTGAAACGTGTTGTCAGCCTAAATAAATCTTTTACAAATTACTTTCATTAGTGCCCCATTCACATATATGCGGATTGGATGCGGTTTGAACCGCATCCAATCCGCATGATATGTAAAATAACATTGCTTCCTATTGTGGCTGTTCATTTATGTCCGATGCACTGGTGGTGTGGATTCAGTGCGGATTGACAGAGTCATGTCCGATTTCTGAGCAGCACGGTCCGGTTCAGGTGTGCATTACAGGCTATTAACTAAACCCGGCCATAAATGGGTCAAATTCTGAAAGAATTTTCTTTCAAAAATCTTTTCTAAGAATTTTTGTTCGAATTTCGCACCATTAGTGGGTCACAGAAATGACCAATTTTCATGTGACCATCGAATTTGAGTAATCAGGCATGTTGGACATTTTTTGTAAAACGAACAAATTTCGAATCAATGATGGGAGAATCGTGGCAAGAAATATAAAGCTGTGACCTGGAAAGAAAAGAAAATTCTTGGCCACGAAAATTGCTTTCAGTAGCAACATGAGGAGAAATTGAACGCTTGGTTGGTTGAATTTCAAAATCAATGGTGGCACCATCGCATTACAAAAAACGCACAAAATTTCCAATTTTCTAAAGAAAATTTGTTTGGAATTCGACCCATGTATGGCCTGCATAACGGTTTTTAAACAGAAAAAAAATGTGTAAACAGGATAAAATCCTGACCTGAACCTGATGTAAACCTGACCTGAACCGTTGAACAACTACTGTGTCAATTAGCTGTGAAACCTGAGCTTCAATCCGCACCGCATGTGTGTGAATCATCTCTTACTAAAGCATATTAAATGTCATTAATCAATCATGTTTAGCTGACACAAGTATCCCATTATAGTACACAGGTAAGACACTCATAGCACGGATCACCTTGTACAGTTTTTCCCAGGTAATCTCCTCTCCGCTCTTTGTTAATTACATGTTGATAAATCTTCCCTGTGGTGATATTATTGTCCTTGTAAAGGCTGATATCCAAGAATCTCTCATAATTCCCCAGATCCAAATCCACCTCTCCCCCGTCATCCAGCACAAAGACCTCTCCTGGAAAGCAAGAAAACAACATGGCAGAAAATATGAAGGTAACATAGAATAAAATTTATAGTATAATATAACAGGCCATCTGGAGAATCCTGACAACAATGGGTGCTGTAGAATCAAAGCATGGACAAGCGGTCCCCTGTGCACTACTACAGTAAGGAGCTCATTTATGGCCTCGCCGGTTTAGAAAATGGCAGGGAGGTTTCCTGCACCGCTCCTGTGTAAGCTCAGGCTCAATGTCACTCAATGAAAAGCCGCGGTTCACACGGTGAAGCGGTGTAGGAAACCACGTGATTCAGACAGGAATTGCACCACATTCCTGTTCATATCGCAAGCGATTCTTTGCAGTGGGATTTGAGCCCATTCATTTTGTATGGGCCTGAATCGCACAGCATTCCTGTTCAAATAGCATGCAACTCTCTGCAGTGCGATCTTAGTGCATTCATTCATTATGGGCTCAAATCGCACTGCAGAGGTATCAGTTTGGGAAGTATATGTACGAATACTCATGCCAGTACTTAGTATCGGTGTAACCCTAATGAAAATATTCCTTGCGCTACACGCAACATAATGCTGTGCAGTGGTGTATTTAGGTTTCGTGCTGCCCTAGGCAACACAAAAATTGGCTTCCCCCACGGAGAGACCCTGACACTGACAAACAACCCCCTCCCCCACGATAAGAGCCTGACATTGCCAAACAGCAAGCCCCCACCCTACCCAAGAGAGCATTCCACTACCACCGCCCCACCACTGCCTTGTGGTAAATACGCTCCTGTAGCTGTGCACACTGGAGTGAAAGCAATACATCTAGGGCCATTATTCACAGTTAACCCTGAAGTAACAACATGTAGGAGTTTTTGAAATGTCACCTGTGGAAAACGTTTTTTTTTGTTGTTTTACGAACACGCACAATATTTTAGCTTGACATGCTAGGTATAAATAGGGAATCAGGACCTCATTCCTCCTGCTGGTGATCCCTCTAGTGATAACCAAAGGCCTATATAGAGGTATCAGGACCTGCCAGGCTGCATTCTTTGCTGATTTTGGAGCATGACATATCAGAATAGTGTGAACATGCTTTATATTTATTACTGATTATAGAACTATTTTGGCTAAATATGTTTTATATATATATATAGATACAAAAAATATATTTCTATGTATTACTGAGTATATACCATGCTCATAAGGTGAAAAGGTCCCAGCATCAATATTAATGTATGGGTCGATTTTAATGGCAGTCACTCTCAGCCCACAGGATTTCAGGATTGTGCCAATGCTACTTGCAATGATGCCTTTTCCAATGCCAGATATGACACCGCCAGTCACCAGTATGTACTTCATTGGTGCTCTATGTGCTGTGTAGTAGCGCTGAAAAAGAAATCTGAAATGTAAAAAAAGAAAATAAATATTACAGTGGAAGGGATGATATTATACAAATGTGAAAAGATATCAACACTTTTTTTACACAGATCTGTACCTATGGTATCTTATTATATCTATTAGGGGTTCACGATACCCTTTTTTTTAAGTACCAATGCTTTCGGTCATGTACTCGCCGATACAGAGTACCAATACTCTGCGGTGCAGTTTGCATCCACCCAAAAAATGAATGGGCGCAAACTGCACTGAAATGAATGGCATGTGATTGGAACAGGAATGAAGTGTCATTCCTGTCCAAGTCACATTCCGCTTCCCCACTGCTCCTGGGTGAACCCAGACTTGTCATAGCAGGAGTTCCCACAGGAGCGGTGTGGGAAACCTTCCTGCACCGATCCCATGCTGTCACATAACTAAAAGCCATAGCTCTGGGGATTTGAAAACTCTGCGGCTCTCTCCCCTCTCCTCACAGCGGGTTAGGTATCTTCTGATTTTTAATTTGCTTATATCACATATCAGTACAGACTATACGGTTAATAGAAAACTCTATTCAAAATGGTGTTTCCTAGTGCCGGGTCTATTTACTGTTTGTAACCCTGATGGGGAAATCTCCCCTTATATCTTTACTCCTGTCACTGGTCTCCAACTGGTTCCTTCATAGGAATATATGAAGAATGTTCTCTAGAGAGGTGCTAGGAAAGCAGCTCATAGCAGTTGCTATCAAGGCTGGAATGGGTGGTCTTTCTGTAGATCTTCACTCTCTTTACAAATAACAGCATTTCCAGATATTTTTTTGTTTTCTGCAATGAAATTTTTGCTATTCATATAATTCAAGGCTTCCCAGGCGCCACGTTGCCATGGCGACTAGAAATTGCATCCTGGTGCCGGGTTTACACACTGCCTTCTATAGGCTTCAATGGGAAAACGCCTCCCATAGGCTTCAATGAGAAAACGCCTCCCATAGGCTTCAGTGGGAAAACGCCTCCCATAGGCTTCAGTGGGAAAACGCCTCCCATAGGCTTCAGTGGGAAAACGCCTCCCATAGGCTTCAGTGGGAAAACGCCTCCCATAGGCTTCAGTGGGAAAACGCCTCCCATAGGCTTCAGTGGGAAAACGCCTCCCATAGGCTTCAGTGGGAAAACGCCTCCCATAGGCTTCAGTGGGAAAACGCCTCCCATAGGCTTCAGTGGGAAAACGCCTCCCATAGGCTTCAGTGGGAAAACGCCTCCCATAGGCTTCAGTGGGAAAACGCCTCCCATAGGCTTCAATGCAAAAACTTCAGTAAATAGCAATCATATGTGAACACTTATCTCCGAATGCCACTCTACTCTATCACTTGCAAGTCTGGAGCGCACTGCTGCAAACTCGCACAGGACCCTTTTGATAACGGCACTCAAAACACAATGCGTGTGAATCGCATCTGCGTGAACTACCTCAATAGGAACACATAATATCTAGATTGTCGTGCAAATCTGAGTTTCAAAATGAATCCAGAATCACATGTGTGTGAACCAGTGCAGCTCCATTCACACCTAAGCGTTTTGAGATCGCAGCACAATCACTGTAATTGCAAAATTCATGTTCAGGTTTCATTATTTTCAATGGCGCCTAACACTTGGTGTGGTTTTGCTGTAATTGTAGTGTTACAAATCGCATCGTGTGAAGTCCTGGGCACTGCCAACCCACTCTACCTTAAAAAAAACTGGCTTCTAACTTGTTTAGCTTGCTCCTAGATTCAAAACAAATTTGTCAAGCCCTGATACAACCTATACATTAGAGCAGTCTTTCTCAGCCAGGGTTGGTGGTACCCTAGGGTTCCTCAAGAGGTTGTCCAAGGTTCCTCCTCGAGCAGTGAGCAATTTCTAGATCTCACAGAAGCTACCACTGACACCAGTGATGTTGTTGTCATCTGTAAGAGGGGGATTCCACCCAGTGACCATTACACTAATGTATCATGAGCTGTAGATATAGTAGTTATTAGAAGGAGTTTCTTCAGATCAGAAAGCTAGTTCAAGGGTTCCTACTGAAAAGGTTGAGAAAGGTTGCACTAGAGGAAGCCACTGTTGGCTGGGGTTCCTCACCTCCTTTCTATTCACATTTCAACATCTGATAACAAAGGTATAAAGTACTGCTCATACGAAGAAGACATCCATAATCAAAGTTGGAGAATGCAGGATATTCAACATTGTTAAACACCAGACTAACATTTATATTGGAAATTCAACTGTTTGCACTTTTATCCAGTGGCGTCCTGATGCAGGTGCGGAGGGTGCGGACAGCACCAGGTGACACCGACCACACGGGGTGACACCGGACCCGCTCCACAAAAAGGTAAGTTGTAAAGCAAGCCGACGATCCCCGCTTTCGGCTTTCTTTACAACTCACCTGTTCTTGGAGCGGGTCCGGTGTCACTCCGTATAGGTTGCATGCCAACGATCCATTTTGCTCAATTCGCAGATCCGATCCATTCTGCAGGGATCGTCGGAGGGGGTGTCACCAAGTGTTACCACACCGGGTGACACCTACCCTAGGGACGCCTCTGCTTTTATCTCATAACTTGTTTTCCCCCATAGTGACGAGAAAGTATGAAGGAGCGAGATGGAAAAACTTTCTTGAAGAGCGAAAGCTGTTTTCATCTAGGAAATTCCATTAATACCAAAAGTGAATGTTAAATGCAAGCAAAATGTTAAAGTATATAAAATTTTGACATTTGTCAATCTCTGTTGGCATTATGGAATGTACCAGTGAGCTGCAGTGTCTGGGTGGTGACGTCACCCATAGGCTTACTATGGGGCATCTGTTATCGGCACTACCTCCTCTACACTGAAGACACCTCTGGGAGCCGAACACATGACCGGACCAGAGCGCCCTGAGAATAGGTAAGTACAGTTGCAAGAAAAAGTATGTGAACCCCTTGGGATTACGTGGAATTTTGCATGAATTGGGCATAAATTGTGCTCTGAGCATCATCTAAGTCACAACAATAGAAGAACACAGTCTGCTGAACATAATAATACTACACAAACATTAGATGTTGCCATGGTTTAATTGCACATAACATGTAAACATTCACAGTGCAGGGAGGAAAAAGTATGCAAGGCCCTAGCTTAATGACTTCTCCCAGAGCTAACTGGAGCCAGGAGTGAACCAACCTTGACTCCAATCAGTGTGATGATATTGGAGGTGTTGCTGACAGCTGTCCTGCCCTTAAAAAAACACACACCTGTTTTGGGTTTACTGGTTTCAAGAAGCACTGTCTGATGTGAACCATGCCTCGCAGAAAAGAGCTCTCAGAAGACCTACAATCAAGAACTGTTGACTTGCATGAAGCTGGAAAGGGTTACAAAAGTATCTCCAAAAGCCTTGATGTTCATGTGTCCATGGTAAGACAGACTGTCTACAAATGGAGAAAGTTTAGCACTGTTGCTACTCTCCCTAGGCGTGGACGTCCTGTAAAAATGACTGCAAGAGCACAGCGCAGAATGCTGCATGAGGTAAAGAAGAATCCCAGAGTGCCAGCTAAAGACCTACAGAAATCTCTGGCACATGCTAACATTTTTGTTGACACATCTCCAATAAGGAAAACATTAAACAAGAATGGAGTACATGAGAGGACACCACGGAGGAAGCCATTGCTGTCCAAAAAAGAATATTGCAGCACGTTTGAAGTTTGCAAAAGAGCACCTGGATGTTCCACAGCACTACTGGCAAAATATACTGTGGACAGATGAAACCAAGATTGAGTTGTTTGGGAAGAACACACTACACTATGTGTGGAGAAAAAAAGGCACAGCACACCAACATCAAAACCTCATCCCCACTGTAAAGCATGGCGGGGGAGCATCATGGTTTGGGGCTGCTTTGCTGCCTCAGGGCCTGGACGGATTGTTGTCATTGATGGGAAAATGAATTCCAGAGTTTATCAAGACATTTTGCAGGAAAACGTACGACCATCTGTCCGCCAACTGAAGCTCCGCAGAGGATGGGTGATGCAACAGGACAATGACCCAAAGCATACAAGTAATTCAACAAAACAATGGCTGCAACAGCACAGAATAAGCCTTCTGGAGTGGCCCAGTCAGAGTCCTGACCTCAACCCGATTGAAATGCTGTGGCATGACCTTAAGAGAGTGATTCACACCAGACATCCCAAGAATATTGCTACACTGAAACAGTTTTGTGAAGAGGAGTGGTCCAAAATTACTCCAGATCGTTGTGCAGGTCTGATCTGCAACTACAGGAAACGTTTGGTTGAGGTTATTGCTGCCAAAGGAGGGTCAACCCGTTATTAAGTCCAAAGGTTCACATACTTTTTCCTCCCTGCACTGTGAATGTTTACATGTTATGTGCAATTAAACCATGGCAACATCTAATGTTTGTGTAGTATTATGTTCATCAGACTGTGTTCTTCTATTGTTGTGACTTAGATGACATTCAGAGCACATTTTATGCCCAATTCATGCAAAACGCCACGCAATCCCAAGGGGTTCACATACTTTTTCTTGCAACTGTATATGCACCATCCTTCTAGAGGGTAGTTAGTATAAGTGTTAGGAGGATGGGAGCAGTTTTAAGATTAGTTAGTAATAGCCTGGAACTCCACTTGAAGTGGTTGTAAACCTCAGCTATGAGATATGACCAAAGCATATCCTTCTATAGTGTGTACTATGTGTCATTTCTCTCTGCTGCTTCGTTCTTCTGCTAATAGCATAAATCATTTCTGACAAGTTTTCCTGACACCAAGAGAAAAATGGTGACAAGGGAGGGACCTTCAGCAGATTGACAGTCTCAGCTCTGTTCCTGTATGCTGTGTGGAGGTGGGTGTGTCCCTTTTCTCCAATCAACTCTCAGAACTCTCCTCACTAAGCTATTCAGGGTGTAACTGCAGCTCTCCTCCCCCTTTTTTAACTTTTAGACAAGCTTTATAAATTCAGCACTTTTGAATGGCTGTAGAGAAGAGAAGACTGCAGATAAACAGGTAAAAGTTATGTAGGAGGATTTGTTTAATCTCTGTGTATCACCTGAAGCCAGTCACTTCATTGGGTATATGTTACAACCACTTTAAAGAAAAAGAGAGATACCGTAAATAAATGTACATTATATTACCTTTTTCCACGTGTAAAATAATTCACAACTTTCCTTCCAATCATTGACTGATCTCTTCACTGTAAAGCAACAAAAAGGAGGTTTTCTAAACATGAAATGAACTACATAGGACAGCTCCTAATAATGAATTTCATTTTAGTACTTTTTCTTGCTTCTGATAAACTCTCTTATCTATGCAAAAAATGTCAATGCTACACTTTCTTCATATTTTATTTAGAGTTTTTGCTGGTAGGGGATTCCTGATGCATGTTTTTTTTTTTTTGTCGAATTCTGCATTGAGGGACTGCTCCACAAATTTGCAAGGGTACTGCATGGTCCCATTCACTTACATTGGAAAGTGTGACACAAGTTGCTATCTGTCAAACTCGGCACGTCATGAGAAATTGCTGTGGTATGGTGTACTCGCCCGAGTGGCACGTTCAGTTATGAGTGAGCGATTGAGGGCCAGCAAAAACGCAGATCAACTTTTATTGTTCCCAGGCTGCCCACGTGAAAGGTGCAATAAAGGCAAACGAGACCCTCTGTAACCAACACCAAGATACAGAAAACATTATTGGTTTGGACATAAATGTTTATCTGATGTCTGATTGGTCAGTTCATATCCAAGGTTACATATCCATTGAAGGAAGGGTGGTGCCGCCAATGAGGCCAACTGAGGTGGCCGTCTTGGGCGGTGCTCATTGATACATGGTGTGGAGCACTGCTGAGACCGGAATGTCATTCCAGACACTCCATCCTCAGGGACAGCTCAGTAACATTAAGCTTAAAGTGGAATTCAACCCACTTTGGAATCTTTTACCCACAGGTAAGACTTTATTAACGCTTACCTGTAGGCAGGGTGGATAAAAATCAATGATTTTTTAAAAAAAAATCAAACAAAATCGGATTTTTTTTTATTTAAATCGGATTTTTTTTAAATAAAATGCTTTTTGAGGAAAATATATATACCATCCAAAGGTTATTCCATCATGAAATAAAGATTAGTTTTTTTAATTATGTAGAATAAGGCTGTATATGTTTAATTTTTTGGTAAATAAATTCCATGAATCCATTCACAATGTCATGCTCTTCCAGAGGTTTTTGTAAGATTATTGGGCAGTTTCTCTGCCTACAAGATATTATCACAGATGCTTGGTTTACTTTTGCAGTTCTCAAAACTGAATTTGACTCAGCGGAGATCACATGCCTCTTCTTCACAGCAAAAATGTTATAACATGAACAGAGTTAAGAAAAAGACCTTCATCCTAACTTCTACAAACCTATGAATACAGAATCAACCCCTTCAGTGCTAAGTTTCAAGAAGTTCAGTGAATAGAAACAATATTTTTCTGATTGTTTGGAGTGGAATAGATCTGCACAAGAAGAAAGTGAAACTAAGTGTGAGGAGGAAGGGGCTGACAGTCTAAGTTTCTTAAAATATATATATTTTGTTTAGCCAAATTAGTTAACAAACATGGATGTTTGTTTAAGCAAATAACATATGCTGGAATGTTATTGTGTCAGTTGAATAAAATCTATTTAAATTGTTATTATTAAGGTAATGATTATTTTTCTCCTTCCTAAGTACAACAGAAAAGTTGTCCAAATATGAATGATTAACCTATTAAACTGGGGATAAAAAAACTAATATGAAAAGTTGTTATTCTAAAAATCTTCATCTACTTGCATATTAAAGTTATACCAGCAAGAATTAGTCTTTATGTAGAAAACTAGGATTTAAATCAAGCCTTACTGACTAGTGATTTAAATCGTGATTTAAATCAAATCCACCCTACCTGTAGGTACTGTAAATATCTCCGAAACGTGCACGGTTTAGGAGATATTTACTGTAGAAGCACCAGTGATGTCACTGGCACATGCGCACTGCGCTCTCAACGGACGGCGCCACAGCCGAAACTCTGGTGCACATGCACATGACAACATTGCAATTCAGCAAATCAGATGGCTGCAGCTTGCAAACCTGGAAGAAAGACCGGATGAAGATGGAAGCTTTGGGGAGCCGTGATAGTGCTCCGCTGGAGGGCTTGGTTTTCAGGTAAGTCTTTCAAAATATGCTAGTATGTGATGCATACTAACATACATACATAAGCTTTTAACTTGCAGGGAGAAGATTTTTTTAGAATTTTGGGGGCGGTTTACTACCGCATTAAACTCAGGGAATCAGCATTCCAGAGCTCCCTGCCCAGTCACTGCTTTTGTCACAAACACAGGTACAGCGGCTGAGCCTCATTGACTAAATGCAGGTTCAGCATCAGCCTAGGTTCATTCTGATGTGGTATGAGTTGAATCTGTTTTGCAGTGCGATTTCAGGAGCAGCTCCAGTGCGAGTTGATTAGTTGAATCTCCTAGAGTCCACAGCATGCAGTTTTCACTCATGTCTGTGGAGCTACGAACTGAACTGTACTAATCTCACACAGGACCCTTT